GATTATAAATACCAGAAATGATGAGGCATCATTGGAGATGTTCCCCCCTAGGTCATAAAAATTAAGAACAAAATATGTCTCATATCTCACCATTTTGATTTTTACTTGCATATATGCATATACAAGTGCCCTTACACTAATACATATAATATGGACAGAGGAGATCACCCTTCACATGGTGGTGTTATGATAAGCAATATATGGTGTTGTCAAGTTGGTGTCCTTATGTTATGATATATCATGTCAATTCTCAAAATTATTATTTTATTTAAAAGATGGAGCTAATAAAGAGTTAAAATATCCTCCCAATTAAAAAAAAAATCCCAACATGATCTGTGCCAAAAAAAAAAAATCAGTTCAATGCGTTTTAGCATCATAGAGAATTTGGATCAGCTACCAACACACGGTGGCAACAACGTCCCAACATATGGAGAACACCTCTACATAAATGACAAGGGAGATGCTCCAAATGTGAGGCTGCAATGACCTGTTGGGACATGCTGGTAGCATATCCCTGCCCCATGTTGGAATGTCTTGAAATGTTTTATATTGGGAGGAGATCCAAAGGCGTGATTGAAAGCCACCAATCTCATGAATGAGAGAGAGAGGACGATTTACATGTTTGATTCTTTTAGACCAAAGCTTGAAACTTTTTGTGTCCTGGGGAGTAAACCGAGGTAACAATCTCTCTCTGTCTCTCAGTCACATGGGGCGGAAGGACCTACCTTGGGGCAAGCTAGGAAGGAAGAAGCTTGTACTTTGTACGGTGAGCAACATTTTGTTCTTTCCTGACCGTAAGTTTACACCTTGAATTTTTTTTTTATTTTTTAATCAGTGAATATGTTGATAAGGTTAATAGTCACCGTGAAAAATAAAGTGGAAGTAACTACTACCCTTTAAAACTTTTAAAATATCAAAATGAATTGGTGAGTATTGTACCATATGTATCAAATTTTAACTTTTATCTTTTTATTTTAACCCCAAACTTTACTTTTAAGTGTTATGTAGTCTAATCCAGGAGGAATCTAAATTGGGTTCTAAAGATTTCCTCTTTGGTTAGTATTTTTTTAATTAAAAAATTATACAAAAATAATAGAGAGCAATATATGCAGTGCTTGTATTATAAATAGGGGTAATTTGAGTATTAAAAGTATCATAATTGTTGGAAGTACCTAGAACAGAGTATTGATACTTTGAATCTTACCTATGCATGCTATAGTAGGAGTCAAACAAAGCCCAAGAAGGATAAATAATAGTAATTTCTCAAGTTTCATCGGTTAATGTTGTTTGTAACTTTCATCTTTTTCTTTTAGCCCCAAACTTCACCCTAAGTAGCCTAACCCAAAAGGGAAGTGAATTGGGTTTTATGGATTTCCTCTTGAGCTAGTGTCTTTTCAAATTAAAAAAAAAAAAAAAAAACTATACAAAAATAACAGAGAGCAATAATGTGTGGTCCTTGTGTGACTAATATGGTAGTACGAGTAATGAATATCAACAATTATGAAGAATAACTACAAACAATCAATATGAGACAAAAAATTTATAGAGGTTTGGCCAATTCAGCCTTACGTCTTCTCCCCAACCATACTACATAAGAATTTTTACTAAATTAGTTAGACTTTTTGGGTGCCAACAAAACCTTTACAACATTTGGACTTCCAAGGTATCAACAAAACCTTTATAACATTTTAACTTCCAAGTGCCAATAAGACCAACCAAATAGACTTATTGGTGCTATATCAACCTTTCTACTGTTCAAACCTTGAAAACTCAACAAATTTCAGTTAGAAAACCACTAGCTGATCAATTATGATAATATGGAACAGTTTTTTTATAAGAATAATAATATAAACAATTAAAGCACAATAAAAATGCCTTACTAGGTTTATATGCAAATATAGAATGAAACTATTCAAATGCAAGAATAAGCATAAACAAATACTGGCTTGTGCACTTGAAGAGACTATTGATTCTTGGAGAAAATCAATGAAGCACAAAGTTGCTCTCTTACTATTGCTTTCTTTTCTCTTTTTCACAATATAGTTCAATACACTTCATTTAGGCTTAGTTTGGAGAGAGTACAAATACAAATATGTATTATGCAAATACATACAAAATACAAGGTTTTGCGCTCTACACATTTGTATTTGTACTCCTTCCAAATTGAGACTTAGTTTTTCAATTTAAACTCATGCATATATAACATGAATCAAGTTTAGAGAATTTGTGACCATTTTAGAATCATTAGAAAGGGGTTAAACCATTCTTAGAAATGTGTATAACTTATTCCCAACAAGATTGAAAGCTTACTAGAAGAGGAAATAGCCATTGAGCCATCAAATGGTAAAACATCTTCTTGTTCTTCATGAAATAGTCAACTGGTACAAGTGGGTCTCCATTGCTTCAACCTTGTTAGGAGCAAGTAGTTGACTACCATGATGTTTAAATAGGCGACTACTACTTACAAGAGATAATTTGTTCTCTTCGGTGTCGACTATTACCTCTTGGTAGTCGACTAATATCAATATGTTCTTGACTAATGGATATAGTTGAATACCCTTACTCCATTAGTCGACTACTAACCAAAGTCAATGTGACACCAAGCTTAGTTGTCACAGGTAGTCGGCTACTTAGTGACACCAGTCTTGGCTATCAAAAGTAGTTGACTATTGCCTTATAGGTGATTGACTAATGACCATGTCCAACCTTAGAAATTTCATGTAGAAAACTCCTAAGGCTCCGTTTGTTTGTGATACAAACACTGAATCGGGGTATTTATGTACCCCGATATACCCCGATTCGCATTTATTTGATATGTAAAAAAGTAATGATTACCAGATCAAAAATGCATTTTTTGACACTTTTGTACTCTGAAAAGAGAGCATTACTGTATCTATTTTTTTAGATACAATTTTGTGTTCTTTTGATAATTAACTTTTTTATCAAAGTTAAGGCATTGGAGCATAAGATAGTTGGAGCATTTAATAATGGGCCCACATTTTGCACCAATTTCAACCAAACATGATGAGTGCAAAAAATGGTTTAAAATGTGAGCCATGGTTGTATTCATGAACCGAAAAAAAGGTGAATATGCAATGTACATATTTGTATTTGCATTGCAACCAATTAAGCTTCTACATTTAGAATTTTCACAGTTGAAACTCAATTTAAAATTTAGGTAAAAGCCTAACCATTTAATCGTTAGTCTTCAAGGTCTTGATTATACTGATGTAGGTTAATTAATCCCATCTTCTGTATCTTGCAAATGATTACATCAAGTCCTAAAAGAAATAAAAACAAGTTATAAGCTCTATAACTTATGTCTTCTTCTTCTTCTTCATGATAGCGTACTTTCTTGCTTGGAGAGAGTTTGTTCCATCATTTAATAAGGTTTCATACTACTCTTTTCACAAGTGTTAATACTTTCAATGAATTTGCTATCATTAAAACACATAGGGTGAAATACTAAAGCTGAGTTTGGTTGCAAATGCAGTTTTATTTGCACTAAAACAAATGAAGAACTACAAATTTTGGTTTAATTTTATTTTGGAATTTACTTTATTTTGCTTTAGGCCTTATTTTAATTCATTTGCATGGCAAAAAACAAAGTAAGGTAAAATTTAAAACAATTTGGTTTTACCATATGGATAATCGTGTTTGATTGGGCAAGTTTAACTTCAAATATTTGCATCACTATTTATTGAGTTATGTGCATATAGGTTCAACTATGAGATGTCATACCAAAAAAAAACTTATAACTAATCAACATTTATCTAGCCAATTAGGTAAGTTTTTATTTTGATTGATCAAAGGCTTTTCAGTTTGGCATTATAGATTTTTTTTTTTTTTTTACTTTTCAATGTTTCTCTTGAGCTGGTATTTCCACTTTGGTTTTCCCATGTAACACCTCTGTGCTCAAAATATAATAAACTGTCATGCATTATTTTATATATCATTTCACTTCCCTGATTAATTTATCAACACAATATTTCTGGCTCAATTTGGAAAGAGTGCAAATACAAATATGTATTTGCAGCGTATATATCTGTATTTGTATTTATATTCTTCTTAAACTGAGCAAGGATAAATACAAATATTGACATCCAATGGGATTGATTGATGGCATGTGCATCCACCCCTTGGTTGACCAAGAGTCTCACGCAGATGAGACAAGAAGAAACCTGAAATTTCAAAGGAACTACCGTCCACTGTTTCAATCTTCTTGACAAATTGACCAGGCCCACCATCCAATAAAAAAAGAAAAAAAAAACCTACCCACAAACTTTCTAGGCCACATTACAAAGAAAAAAAACAAAAATCAGGCTTTTAGAGTACAAGGCTGAACCGTGGACCAGTCTCAAATCGATTATTAATTAATAGGTTCTATAAAATAGATCCAAATTAGAACTAATTAATTATCATTAATTAGGATAATCAAGTCTGACATGATTAGACTCGATTATATTTAACATTTATAATTACCCATGATAATAACTTGGAACTTAAACTTTATTTTTGATATTATAATCTTAATGAAAACAATACTAAATACTGTTTATGAAGCCGGAAAGATATGATACAAAAAAAACTTCAATCAATTAATCATATTCATAAAAGTATAAACCAACCTGATGAATTTGCACCAAAATTCAGGGGTTGCCATTAGTCAGAATCTTTGCAATACGATGTCTTTCCGGCATCATAGATTTTCCCTATGAACTATATATAATTATATAATACATAACTAAAAATAAAGGGTTGTATTGATTTTGTTCAATCGGATAGACCCGATCCATTGATAGCTCTAATCAAGGAGGTGGTAAATATAAGACCCCACATTAGATGCAATTATTAGTACCTGACATGTATGGGTTATGGATATGCATGATTTCCTTTGTATATATGCACGGATGGTTTCTGGGGCAGACTTGGATTGTGAATGAGATTGATGTTCACATGTTATGCATATTTTCCACAGCAGAGCATGTGCTTGGAGAGAGATAGAGAGAGAATCTACTGCAGTGCTGCTCAGCTCAGTTCCCCATGTGAAGCAAGCAAATCGTTTGGTGGAAAGCATGTATCACTGACCTCATCTCCTCTCCATCTTTTCTCTTTCCCCTGCATGTGACCCCCCCATCTCTCTCTCTCTCTCTCTAGATGATGTTTCTTCTCACCCCATAAAATGGTTCCAATCCCCACACCTTCCACACTCACTCCTCTCTGCACTTCCCAGAGAACACCATGAGTGCACGCTTTGAAGCTCTTCATTCAAACTTTCTGTAGGATACAGAATGCTAATCCAACCAGCTTTCAAGCTTGGCTTCTGGACTCTTCTTGTATTTTCCTATCTCCAATATGGTCTGTTATTATCTTTTCTCTCCTCTTTCATATGTATATATATTCATGCATGCTTCATATAGTAGCTAAAGCTCAAGGAATTAATACTTCACAGTTCAGATATAGAAGAGATTAAATGATAAAAGGGAAAAAACAAAGATAGAGATTTCTGTCTTAGAAAAGTTTTTCTCCAGTAGATTAAAGTATTACAGTGATGAGTATTGATTTGTTGATTTGTGTAGAACTTATCATGACTGGGTATACTAAATCATCTGCAGGGTGGGCTGCAAAATGTGGTGCCAATAGTCCTTCAGTGAGACAGACTCAGGTGGGATTTGGAGATCCTCCAAAATTCATGGTGGAAATCCAGAACAACTGCCCCATGTGTCCTGCCATTGATATTCACGTGAAGTGTGGAAGCTTTTCTCAGACTCTGGTCGACCCCAGTCTATTCAAGGTACTGGGTTACAATGACTGTGTTGTTAATGGCGGGTTGCCACTGGCTCCTCTGCAGAAAATCTCCTTCAATTACTCCCACCAGAAGTTTCTCATGTCACTTAGTACCTGGTACTTCCAGTGTGAGTGAATGTGTACATCAGCCCTCTGGCAGTACAGTTAAAGATATTTTGTTTTATATCATCTGGTGTTTGTTCTTAATTACAGTAGATGATGATGATCTCCTGTAATAACTTATTAATTTTGTAAACACATCCATTGAGTGAATTGTCAGAAGCACAAATACCATCAACTATTACTATGTGAACACTAGTGCTTTATTTTGATTCTTCACTTAAAAAAAAAAGGTTTGTTTCAAGAATAAGAAGCTTAACATTACTTTTCATGGAATTCTTATGGTAGCTACCGACTCAAGCAGGTAAGAGTTTGGGTTACAAACCAGGACAATCATGCATCCAAAATTGAACTTCATCAGGAAGTTTTTCACCTGTAACTTTGAACTCACAGGCTGTGTTTGGTTGCAATGCAATTTTATCTGTACTAGTACAAATGCATGGGAGTGCAAATCAAGAAAATGCAAATTCCTGTTTAATTTTGTTTTGGATCTTACCTTATTCTATTTCATGCCTTAATTTACTTCATTTTTACTGCAATCAAACAAAATAAGCTAAAATTTGAAACAAAAACAGGTCAGAATTTACGATCAAACCATTTGCACTGCCATAGTTTTGCATTAGTGCAAATTTATTTGCATTGCAACCAAACACAGCTTCAGAGACGAACCAAGATTTGACAAACTGGGGAGTCCTTGTTCCCAAACCTATGTTATCACATTAACTCCTTGTCAATTGACACTGACCTCAGTACCATTTATCCTAAAAGCTTAAGCTGTTAGGTAAGGTCTTTGAATAGATTTTTATTCTTTAACTCAAGAGTAAACAAGGATTGAACGCTAGACCACTTGATCAAATAAGATTTAATACCACCTTAAGGAACTATTTTATTTAAAAGCTTAAGCTGTTAGATAAGGTCTGTGGATAGGTATTTATTCTCTAACACTAGTCTCTATTGAAATTCTAAATGCAACCCTCAATGTCATTTAACATTTATAGTTGAAGCTGCATAGTCTCGTTTAAAAAGAAAGGAATACCATGAAATGTGGCACCTAAAACCAGTTGAGCAAGGGCATATCAATTGATTGGAATTAACGAAGTTAAGGGTCTGTTTGGTTCATAATTAGAATCAGAATCGGAATCGGAATCGGAATCAAAACCCTTTGGAATCGAAATCAGAATAGTCAATTCCCATAGTCTGTTTGGTTCAGACAAGAATGAAATTGAGAATTAAAATCAGCGGGGATTAAATTTCATTCCCAAGAGAGGGGCAGGGAATGACCATTCCCTCAAATGGGGGAATACCATTCCAGCAGAAATGGGAATAGGATTCTGATTCCGATTCCGCCCAACCAAACAGTTGGAATCGGAATAGCCCATTCCGATTCCGATTCCAAACCCCTATTCCCACAAACCAAACGGACCCTAAATTTTATAATTAATTAATGTATCTCCCATATGTTAGGATTTGTGAAGCGAAAAGCTTGTTGAGAAGGGCCAGTTTCAGTTGTAAAGGCTAGGTTTTAGAAGAAGCAGGAAAATATGTTTCGAATATTATGAGAAGGGCCAGTTTCGTTTCAGCTGCAACCCAAACACAACCAAACCAGATTTTCTTTGAAATACCTCATAAAATTGGTGGGCACTTGAATTGTAAGCCCTGTTTAGAGGTTTTGGATGCATAATATGAAGAGACAGAGGATGGTTTCTCTAAGAATGAAGTAATATTTTGTTGAATTTTGTGGCATCCCTCAAAGAAAAAGGATGTAAGAATTAAGCAAAGGAAAAGAAAGATTAATACCTTTTGGCCCCTCCATAGTCATAGCTCCCTACAATCAAGAGGTTCATTCTTAGTTTATTAGCCACTCACATATCAATAACTTTGTGTCTCCTTATGTGGCCTTCACTTCATATGTGATATAAGAAAATAGGCCAATTGAAACCATAAATTTCAACATTTATCTTGATATAAGTACACTTGTTGACACAATTAATAAACACACTATTAGTCTCAGTTAAACATTGAAGAGTTCCATCTCCATTCAGTTGTTCATCCCCAACTATTGCTTCTCTATATATTCTTAATAAATCTATATTTTTGAATTATTTAGCCACATTACAGATTGTCTAGTTTTCATTCCTTTTAAGATCAATAAAAGAATTGCTTGTGATCATGGATTCTGAAGTGTGCAAGTGTAACAACTTCAATTTAAGATACGTCCAAAGAAGAAGAAGACTTTGTTATCATTGCATCCTTATAAGCCAAGAGGGAGAAGAGATTAATAGAAAATTTTGTTATCATTGCATCCTTATAAGCCAAGAGGGAGGAAAATACAGCTCACAAATTAAATATAGATCTCCATATATTACTAAATATAAGATTAAAACGTAAGTGGTTTAGTAAACTACTGTTAAAGCAAGGACCAAGAAAGGAAGAAAGAAATGTAGCTAATGTAAATGAGAACCTTCGAATATAAGTGGTTCAGCAAACTACTACTGAAGCAGCGATGCAACTGGTGTGAAGCACTCACACAGGATCCTTCAAAGGCCTCCATGGCACCAGTAAGTAGAAAAACTGAAGCAAATGAATGATGATATTCCCCTTTAAGGCTACGATTTACCTGAAAGAAGCTTGAAGAATCTCTTTGCCAGTTCGGAGATGAAAGAAGAGGAGCCTCAAAAGCTGTTAATGATGATATTCCCCTCCATTATGAGGTAGCTTTTTCCTATTCAAGATGTAAGATCAATGACTTTAAAAGCTTAGCTATTCCTCTGCAACAAGAGGAAGTCTCGAGAAGAGTCATCTCCTCACAAGACTTGAAAACCACGTGGTAGAGCCCTTATTCTTGGGGTCGGGATGTAATGAGTGAGCACGTAATAGCTGTGTGACACATGTCCGGTTAATGTGCCTTTAAGCCAAATGTTTTTTATCCATTAGACAGAAATTATTCATTATTTTATTATCTTTATTAAAATAATTAAAAATAAAAAAAGAAAAACCTAAACATGTTGGAATTTGGGACTCATTTATGTTTTTCTTTTTCTTTTTCATTGTTTTTATTTTTGATTATTTTGAGAAAGATAATAAAATAATGAATAATTTTTGTCTAACAGAGCAAAAATGTTTAGATGAAAGGCGCATTAATTAGGACATGTGTCACAGCTATTACGTGCTCACTCATTGTGCTTACCTAACGTGTCCATTACATCTGGACCCTTATTCTTCCCTTTTGTTCTTGTTGTAACACATGCTATCCAACAAAAAAATTAAAAATATTTTATTTTCATTCCTCACTTGAATTGTTGTGTCATAAAAATAAGGGTATAATGACTAAGGGGCAATAGTGGAAATAGAAAAACCAGGGTCGTTTTTTTTAAGGTATTTTGACAATTAACCAATTACCATGTGCCGTTCTCATTATCATGGTGTAAATGGCCAAGGGGCAATGCTGCAAATAGAAAAATCAGGGTTTTTCGACGATAACCATTCTCATTTTTATAAATGGTACAAGTACAAATAAAGTTATTGATTAGACTTGGCAAAAAGTTGACCTAACCTGCAAATCTAACCCAACCCAACCCAAAAAAACAATGTTAGGGTCTCATATTTAACTACCTAAGTTTGAGAACGACCCGACACAACCCAACCTGGAAAAAATGGATTGGATTGGGTCATTGGTCAGCCCATTGACCTGATTGTTAGGTCTAATTGGAACTATTTATGTATTGTTAAAGACTTTCTCTCTTTTATCTTTACTACTTAGTCACTCTTTATCATTTACTCTTTGAATTGTTGAATGTTCAAGTTTTTTTTTTAATTTTATGTTTGGAATGTAAAGTTAATTCTTTTATTTTTTATATTTTCATGCATTTTTTCTTTATTTTTTAAAATTTCTGTTATTTGAATTGACCTGTGTGTCAACCCTAACCTGAACATTTTGGGTTAGTCTCTAGCATTTGCTGGCCCAACCCAAAATCAACCCATAGTTTCTTGACCCAACCCGAACCCGACCCACTCAACCCAATTGCCAGGTCTACGGGTTGACAGATACGTCCCAAATTTTACTGTCCACTTCTACCTAAACAAATTTTACTATCCACAATTCCACATCCACATCACCAGCCGGTCTAAATCACTTAAGTTGTTTCAAAAAGTAATGGGCTGGGCTTAAATCTGGTAAATGACAATAACCTCGGAGCTTAAGGCCTGGCCTCAAGGCCCCCAACACAAAACACAATCAAAGTAAACAAGGCCCAAAACCTCTCTGATAGGAGTGAGAACTGAGAAGGTCTGGAGATTCTGGACCGTCTGGTCTTTCTTCCGGCTCCCATCAGTCGCCAGGACCAAACCCAGGAAGCAAAACTATAGTAGGTTTTCAAGAATTGCAGAAGTTAGCTCGTCGTGTGAACCATGGACGAGTAGAATTACGCCAATTTCATCCATCTAACCGCCATTGAAAGCATGTAAGAAAGCTTGAGTACAACCTACGTGGTTCAGACGCCAACAATTTGGGGTTTTTTTTTCCTTCGCCATCATATTGAACAATTCCACATTCTCTTTCCCGAAACAATGTAAGAAAAGAGGTCTATTCTGTTTTTTGATATTTCTGCCTGATTTTCCGGCTATTTGAGGTCCAAGAAACATTGTACTTACTCTCCCCCTGCTTGCCGCTTTCCGGCGACCAATGGTCCTTGAAATTGAATGGCTGGTTTTAGACAGACAAACTCTAATTTGTTGTGTATGAAACATGTTAGACAAAAATCCTAATTGAATTCTCTGCCTTTTCTATTGTAAAGACGTAACCTCATAGGAGAACCGTAAACCATAATATAAAAATGTTTTAAGCTAGTCGAATAGCTTAGATAGCTTATGATAGTGTACTTAGTATTTTTCTCCTTTCTTTGTGGTAAAAAGTAATAAAGAGGGTCTCCCCATCTCCTCTCTCTCTCTCTCCATGGTTCACCATCGTACAAGGTTTTCTCATCAAGGGTTATCGTTTTTGAAGTCGCTGCTGATATCTTAACTTATCTCAAACTGAACCTATTTATGTTGCTGATATTGGTCACCCCACTGTCCTTTGGATCGTCTTGAGCATATTTTGTGCTCCAGTTTTTTTCCCCTAATCGTCGGGATCGGTATTAGAGTAATTAAACGATTGGGGTATGGTATATTCATCCAAATGGAAGAACTGCTGGGTGGGACAGTAAGAGGTATACTCGACTAAGTCATTGTAAATCTTATTTTGGTTCTTGATTTTCTTGGTTACAAAGTTCTTTGAGGTTTCTATCGTATTTGTAATCCACAATTCCACATTAAATTGACCCTCTGGTTGATTAGACCAACCAGTTTGGCTTCAGAGTTTACATTTTTTGAGTTCTATGATTTTTGGTTCTTTGAGAGTAATTAATAAGGACTTATTATTATAAATTTATAATTTTATAAAACAAGAGTAATAATTAATAAAGACGCTTGTTATTACCCATCACAAAAAAAAAAATAAAGTTGTTTATTATATTGCTTTCTTGTTTCTCCAACGATAACAAGTATGCACATCTGATCAGCAGTGTGAGCACATTGAGGCTTCATGCACAATTCTTTTTTTATGGTCATGGCTGTAGACCTTTGGATGTACAGTCATGGCTGGCCTCTATCCAAAGCATGCACTTAGAATACTTGATTCCAGGGATTTGAAAAAAAAAGGGGCCATAGCCCCTTTGTGATTTTTTTTTTCTATATTTTCACCATTGTGCAGGGTTTCTCAGAAGAGGGTCTCTTCTCCCCTCCCACACAACTTTCTGTTGTCTGTTGGGAAAACATAAAGGGGCTCCCCTTGCATATCTGTTATTTAACAATACTGGGGCTCAACTCTGTATGTTTTCCTACAAGGAACAGGCTGCCTTCCTACAGTGCTCATATGCTGTACTGATATTCAATGTGTTCTTTTTAATTGCCTTTTCTTTTTTCCATTATTTAGGTGAACAAGTAGGTTTAATGGTTAGAGGTTAGTAGTTTGGACTGATGAAGGTTGGATTTGATACCAAGTCTGGGATTTGGGTCCACAAAAGTTTTTTTTTTATTGCATTCTTAATTATAGTAAGTTGTTAGTTTTTGTTTCATGTAAATTTGTGTTATTGTTTAATTTGTTGCATTATAAATTTTAACGCTTAATTTATAGGTCTGGTTTGTTAGAAACCTTTTGGCACTGAATAGAGCAGAGCGGCAGAACAGGATTCGTGTAGCCAACCCTAGAATGTTAAGTATTTGTTAAAGGCATTTGCCTATGGAATTTTTTGTTGCTTATCCCCTTCGTTCTGGCTTGATAGCTATGACTAAATCCCAGTCAGAATTGCTGTATGAGACCCACTATGAATAATTACATTCAGACATAATGTCTCAATTCATTGGTGTCTCTAACTTCATTATAACTTTAGAACCAAATGGATGCATCAAAAGTTGGACTAATGAATCAAGCTTGATAAAGATACTTTCATTTGATGTTTCCCTTATTCTAAGAATGTAGATTCTAATACCAATTGTGTAACCAAAATGCCAGAGATTTATTATTGGTCGAAGACAAGGGATGTTTGCATCTAAGAGAAGAAAAACATGAAAGATTGGTTACATTTGTTTCCCTAAAATGAACAGAGAATTTTTCAGGCTGAAATATGTCAGCTATTACCTTCACTCCTTTTACAGTGAAGACTTTGTTTTCCATCCTTTTATTGTTTGGATATAAATGACAAGGAAAAACAAGGTTTTCATCATAAACGGGTGAAAATATAATTCAAATATTTCAGCGTAGAATTTTCTCTCTATATGTTGGAGAAAGTGGAGCCTTAAAGGAAAACATGAACCTATGAATGATGTGAAGAAGATAATTCCCCTGTTGGTGATGGAGTTTATTCTCTGCAACAAGAAAAACCAGCTTGGAATGAAACTTTTACTCTCTAACTATTCCTCATGGTCTAGTTGATGGGTAGTGTATCTAATTTCTGGGGGACAGCAGGGCTAGCACCTGTATGTTTGATGACTGTTCTACCCATCAGAGAATTCATAGTTTTCACTTAAACTAACTTCAGCAGCTGCATTTGAAATCTCACTCCAACTTGATTTGGTTTATGTAGGACCCCTGATGGTTGATACATGTTCAATTGGTTTAGTCCCTTGATTACTGTAATTGGTTCTGGATTTGTTTTGGGTTTTCTCAAATCCAAAAGCTCAATATGTGCAAGCTCACATATAGGCTGTAAGCTAACGTATCTTGCACAAGTGAAAAGATGAAGCGCAAGCGTGGTCACAAGAAAGGGAAACAAAAAAAGCACACTGCGTTAATTGGAAATGAACTGGTCCTAAATGCTGTTGGCCTTAACACAGAAGATAACTCAGGTTTTGATGATGTTGATGGTGACCAATTGGATTATGGAGTGGAAGTTAAAGCACCAGACTCCATGGAACTTGATCACCCTGTCAAACCTACAAGCACAGATACTGATGGGTTCAGTGATAGATCAGCTGGACGATCTGGGCGTGGGCGTGTTAAGGTGAAACTCAGGTCTTCAAAAATGTTGGAATCCCAGCATACTTCAGATGCACATACACAGAGTGACACAGACAAGAGTAGCCTACAAGTGGGCTTAGAGAAGGAACGAGAAGTTACTGAAAAGATGGAAGATAGTGCCAACTCATTTCCTGAAGTGCAATTTGCTCTTTCAGGGAAGTCATCAAGGAAAACAGGAAGCATAAAGATAAAATCCTCACGGGGCTTGCGTTCTTCAAATGTAGTTCTAAACCAGGGCAATAGTCCTGTATACATTCAGGATGAAAAGACCACTCAGACTGTATCAGACAATGACAAGATTGTGGAATCATTTAAATCTAGAGAATCACCAGAAGGCGGGCAAAAGTTACCTTTTCAGCAACCTCAATACAAAAAGAAAGAACTGAATGCTGCATTGTCTGTATGTTGGAAAAACATCATGTTATTTGAATTTCTTTCTTTATTTTTCTTTCTTTTACCATTACTTCATCCATTCTCCATTTATTGGTGCTGTTTGAGTCATGTTTTATGTTTTCATTTATTCTTTGCTTCATGTTTTATTCTTTAGGTGATCAAGAAAGTCATGAAAATGGATGCAGCTGAGCCCTTTAATGTTCCTGTGAACCCTATTGCCCTGGGAATACCTGTAAGTATTTCTATAATATTAATTGCAGAATGGTTATTGATGCCACGTAGGTCCACTACACTGTCAGCAATTACTGATTTTCTTGTAAGGTTCATGACATGTATTGCTCTAGTTTCTTTTCATCCTGCATCAGTTTCATCATGCTTATAAAGAATGTAATGTTGAACAAACAGTTGCCACGATTTAGGTTGTATTAAAACATCATTGTATAATGCTAGCACCACATATATGAAAATGGTTGTGAGCTGACAGCATCGTCAGTTTCCACAAAGTGACTAGCATGGCATCATTTTGGTGAGCATACGCAACAAAACATCAAATTTGATTAGATGTTTATAGTGATCTTGGAAGGTTTCTAGTGCCTTGATTAGATGTCTATGGTGACTATCAAATCTAAAAAATAAATCCTGGAAAAAGAAGTTAGGCAATTTTTGGAATCGCATTCTTGATGATTTTTCAAAGAAGTTGGCCAATTGGAATTTGGAATGGAATCCATAGTTGTCAAGGCGCCGCCGCCTAGGCGACTAGGCACCCTTGTCTGGGCACCTTGCCCAAACACCATGACTTTTAGCAACTAGGTGCCCTTCTAGGCAACTAGGCTAACTAAGCACTCTGGATTTGCTACCCACAAATTGTTCCCACATCCATGGCCATGGAACACTAACGCCATGTATTGGAACATGAATGACAAGGGAGATATTCCCAATTGACAGCTGTAGTTACTCATGGGTAGGGATGTGGGAACAACTAGTGGGTAGCAGATCCGAGCCCCTAACTAAGTGCCCACCTAGGCAACAAAAATGACAAGGCAGTTGCCTTTTATAATATCATTTGTATTGTCGTATCTTATTAGTGTATGTGTTAATACACTTTATTATATGTTATATATCAATTATACTTTGCTTTAATGTTTTACTATTGAAGTTTAAAAGATCAAAGGGTTTTGAGGAGAGAAAAAGGAGGAAAGAAAGAAAAAAAGAAAGAGATAGAAAGAATAGAATTATAGAGGTTCTTTTTTTCTATTCTCTTTCTCTCTCTCTCTCTCTAATTAAATAAAACAGGAACTCCATCCTTGTCTTTTCTATTTTACTTTCCATCTTGAATATTTATCATATAAAGTTAATAACCTTCTTTAGTTGCTAATTGATATGAAATTGAGCTATTAAATGCTTATTATAGTTGTGTTATTTTTGAAAATAATGAAATTAATATATGGAAAAGATTTTTTATCTTTTAGACATGATGATTTGCCACATTTTTAGAGGAAGTTTAATGTTCTTAATAACGAGAATTGCTATTTTTATAATTAATATGTATTCTGAGTGGTATATAAAACTAGGAAACTAGCCAAAAGTTAGTTTTCTATATTATAAAATTTGTATTACCTAGACAACTAGGCAACTAGGCATCCTAGTGTCGCCCAGAATCGCCTAGATGAAGAAAACAACCTACTGCATGACTTTTTAATAGGAAATTCTATTTTAAGGAATTGACAGCTGCAATGAAGGAAGAGATCAATGCCCTGCACTTGTTTTTTTTTGTTTTGATGAATAATAATAAGTTTATTAATTCAGAAGCAAATTAGAGTGAGTTCATACATCATCCCAACGAGAGGCGCGAGCTGCAGCCCCTCCTTGAAATTTACAAGTAAACTAGGAAAGAAAAACAAGAATCACAAGTGAGCCCAAAATAATTCTTCCCTATTTACCTCTTGCTTAGCTAACACATCTGACAAGGTATTTGCTGATCTCCCCACCCACTGTACAGTGACCAAC